GGAGATTCACATACTGAAATAAATACAGACAGGAGAGGGAGAATAGACAAAGTAGACTGGGGAAATGAGTGAACTGAGTTTTCATTGGAACCCTGGGGATGTATGTAATGAGTTGGAGAGAAGCATGTTTGCCTAGTCTGGTTTACACTGAGAAATGACCCTGTGAAACACACAGTGTGGCCCTCTCACCACACACACATTCACACAATCACTGACTTGGAGGCAACCCAGGCCAGCAATGTTGACAAAAGAAGTAGAAAAGGTGGTGGTGTATTCAGTAAAGAATTTCTACTATAATGCTTGGCTCGGCGAGGCATTCCTACAGCGTAACGTTGTCCAAAATGTGGCATTGAATTGCTGTCACTACTTGATACTGAGACAAGTCTTATAGTTAATGGGACACCGAGCTGTTAAATAAAATAAAAAATCACAAGCTCGATGGCATCATACAGACACTTCTTGTCACATTTTAATTGAACTTTTTAACACAGTGATTACAGATGCATTATTAATGCATTAATCGCTAGCACTTAAATCTGATGCTAAACCAGGACTTGTGATTTATTGGGATTGAGACAAGTGTCACCATTGCCACAACCAAGCAAATGCCAAGGACCAAGGACACCTTGTGTGGATCATTTGCACACTAGCTGCTTTGCAAAAAAGCAGTGTTGGACTTCTGGGAGTATAAACACTGCAACCTAGCATGAGCAGATATCCCACTCTATGTGAGACTGCACAGCATTTGTATCTACTGTCCCATATCTTGAGAAAATATCCCACATTTTGATTGACTTCGGTATTCTTGTTGAGTGTCTCAACAAGAAGTCCTTGCTGACAGTCTTGGTAGCTATAGCAATAAGTAATAGGGATATATATGTGAGACACCGTAGAAGACAAAAAGCAAGACAAAAATCAAAAGTTACGCACTAGGAAAAAGACATTTAAATAGAACAGACTTTAAGTCCTCCACGTGATCAGTGTCAATCCTTTTAACCCTCTCAGGCTCAAATTAAACTTTTTGTTGCTAATGCGCAACCAAGTCCTGCAGTGGTACTTCTGAGTAAAAAAACTCATAAAATATGTATGTGAGGTAATCAGGTTTTTAGTATTTAACTGTTGCAAATCTGCAACGCCTGCCTGGAGAGGGTTAACTGCATCCAACCACCTTCTTCTGCTCTGACAAAGATTGATGCAGAAAGATGTAGTTGACAGAAAGTTGAATAAGCTAAAAGGCTTAAAGAATTTCAGTACAATTCACGCAATATTTCCTCGATCTTTTCTTAGAATAGACATTGCCAGCTTGTCAGTCTTAGTCTGATATGATTTTTTTATGTGATTTTTTTTTCTTTTTAAGAGCTTAGTGGCTCGATGAAACTTCAGCAGACAGATAGAAATATGTTCCAGTGGGTAAATTACTGCCTGTCCCAAGTTTGATGGCAGTCCTTCACACATTTCAATTTTTTCCACTTAATGTCAAACTCATAGTAGGATCCAGTCCATGATTATCTGTGATTTAACTTAACTTTCTTTTTCTTTAAAAAAATAAAAAAATCAGTCTTACTTTAGAGGTGGAGATTCTTTCGAGAAACACTGAACAGTCTTTGAACTTTAAGAGAAGGCTTGAGAAAACCGACTCGGGCAAAGGGAGAACACACAAAGGAAGGCCATTACTTCAATTTGAAAGAGACCATTGGAGCCGGTCTGCTAGCATGGTTAAAGGAAAACACTGGGAAGTGAAAATAATAAGTAATATGCAAGGCCAAGAGACAATATGAAAATTGTGTGGTGTTGTGTTCACAACAGTGCAGGCCTGCTTGTTATCCTCTTAGATCATGTGCACATTAGACTCAATGTGCCTATGAACACGTGTTCTATAGTATAACCTTTTGTATGGCTTACCAATAATAAATTCATAGTGACGACTTTGTTTGAGGTGGTAGGCAGTTTAAACTTAAGATTTAAAGTCCTCCTCTTGTCAGCTGCATTCCAATGCCTGATTTAATCATTAAGATATAACACTTATTGATATCACAGTTATCACTCTGTATTGTAGTCCTTGTATTCAGTTGTGTAGAGCCAGAACTGACTAAACATATGACAAAGTCTACAAGTGGATTTCACTTCCCTTCCCAGGCAAATTAGTGTGATGGTTGAGCTGTTTCCACATTTCACCCATCACACTAATATAAAGACAAAGCTATTCATCAAGCCCCTTGTGTAAAACTTCTCCAAGAAGCTGTCCAGATTGACTGGAAACAGCATTTCAGACTGCACTGTGCTTACCACAGCAAAACAGCAGAATAATCCTTTTTTTTTTACTTAGCAGTAGCCAGATCAGTTCTAAATTACTCACATCACAACTACAACATATGGAAGAGAGTGCTGTTGGATTCAGAGAGTCAAAAACCAAAAAGTCATAGGGAAGAGAAAATGATTCTTAGTAACAGAACATGCAAGTATAAAACAAAATAGAGAAAAAAAAGAAGAAAAGGAAGAAAATTCTGGGCATCATAGCTCTGCGTATGCGGTGGCTCTGATGAATATGCTCATTAGTATGGCTCTCATGACAGATCACTCCATTAATAATCTACAGCTATGATCATGGCCTTGACTGAGAGGGAGGACCACAGGGATGTTGCCTCAGAATGGAGCCCTGTCACTTGCAAGAACCTTAATAGCCATGTGAGGCCGCAAGAGTGCGTGCGCTGAAGATAAACAGAATAAAAAATGTGTATTTTCAAGACGCAAGTTTAGATAGACGTTATTATGAGTCTCATTCAGAGAATTCTTTTTGTATTTATGAAGGACAATTTGTGTTTGTGTCAACTCAAGGGTGGGCACCTTATTAACCGAGGCCCCTGGTGGCTATTTGAGTCTCCAGGAGCGGTAGCCAATTATTGAAAACACAAAACAATATATGCATGGGACACACTGTAACACAACACAGTGGTAAATAATACATCATCATATCTACCCTTTATGAATTATAAATCTCTCCATGTTGACAACTGTTCACAGCAGGCATATATTTATTCATGTACATGTAGCTTATCTCATTGTTTTTTGACAACGTAATTTGTATGATTAATTCTATACCATGAAAATGTTACACAGCCTGGGGGTTTGTCAGCAGCGGCATGGCAAGACTAAATGCAAGCTATGATCGCCTTTGGTGTTAAATAAAAAGCACTTTATATGTGGTGTGATCACAACTGTGTCCCAAATTTAACTGATGGTTTAATATTTTCCCTTGGCAACTCACTTGGGCAAAGCCTGCTGCTGATGTAGCCAAAAACAGCAACTGAAAATTTTGTCTAAGATATTAAATCAGGGACTACAGGGATTACTAAGCCATTTTCCATTTTCATTCGGATTCTCCTGGCTTTTTAACCTGTTATTTTTCGGTGTGTATGACAATTTCATGAACCACTCAAAAAATGCAGGATATTTGGAGATTTAATCACAGACATGGGAAAGCCGGACACATTAACACAGTCATAAGAAACAGAACGTTTTCATAGGACTCCGCAGTCCTGTGAATACCTACATCATCATACAGCCTATGATTCAGTAGCTTGTAGAACAACAACGAATAACTTGAAGTAATAATTGTCTGTATGACTTTATCAGTTTCTCATATCACTGTGGAAGATTTTTGACCCAACACTATTTTCCACTGTTGCCTCATTTCATTGTGTTTTGTACAGCTCTCTGAAAGCCCAGCCATAATATTTTGAATCAGGTTGAGGTTTGGCCTCTGACAGGGCCATTGCAACACCTTAATTCTTTTCTTTTCACCCATTTTGCTGTAGATTTGCTGTTGTGCTTGGGATCAATGTCCTGTTGCATGACTGAGCTGGCTTGGGGTAAACGCTTTACTCCAAAATGCCTTGGTATACAAACATGTTCATGGTCAAGTCAGTAACACTAAGGTGCCCAGCTCCCTTGGTTGCAAAACAATTGTTCACCCTTCCACTACTGTGCGTGAAAGTCAATAATTTGGTCTCGTTTTTCTGAAGGACATTTTTCTAGAGGTTTTGTGATTTGTTTAGATGCAAGTATGCAAACCTAAGCTGCATTGCTGCCATTTTCTTTTTAGAGGCCGGCGAATTCTCCCAGAAACCCTTCCAAATGACTCACACTTGTTCCACTTTTTTCCAATGTTACCGTCATGAATTTTAACATTTAACATGCTAACTGAGACCAGTCAGAGATGTAGCTCTTGGGTTTCTTGCAATTTTTTTGAGTGCTGTACAATTTGATCTTGGGGTGAATTTGCTTCCACCCCTGGGGAGGTTGTCGCATTGTGTTGACACTAATCTAAATGCTTGAGACCAGCAGCCTGCCCGAACTTTGCTGATGATCCCGTTAATCAAGAGTACTGAAGTAGAAGCATTTGGCTCTCTTATTTTCCATGAAAGCAGTAAAGGTACTGCACAGACTCCAGTGAAAACCTTTTTCATATGACTTCATGTGTATCTGTCAGCTATTGATACTGACAACAAAATTCTAAGAATTTGTAATAAACTCCATGATACTATAACATATTTCCTGCATTCCACACTTCCCCCACTAAAGTTAAGTAAGACTTTGAATTATTTACTTCACTTCTACATAGAGACGAGGAAACGGAAGTGCCGGTGTCTGCTGCTGAATCCATAAACACTCACACTTTACCAATAGCCACTCAGTTGTCCATGGCTTGCGGCCATGTGCTACGAACTAACATAAACACATTTTTTTTCTCAGTTTAGAAATTATGTTGTAATGCATTTGGCCTCTATCGCTTGAAACATAATAGAACAGTACCGTAGTTGTTGTTCCAAAGCAAATTCAAGCATGCATTCAATAAAAACCCTTGATGAATGAACCAGAATGCCACTCAAACCACGCACTAGGTTTATCACCAAATATCACTTAGAAAGTAAATACACTGACCATATTAGCAAATCGTGTATTTTATACTTAAATAGGTAATAATGGCTCAGTTTCCTTACCTTGGCTATCTGGACACACCAATTGAGCAATAGCTGTGATCCAATGTTGTCTTTGTGCTCGTGGACATAGTCGAGCAGGCATCCGTGAGGCATCAGCTGTGTGACCAGCTGGATTGTCGGACTCAAGCAGACACCCAGCAGTCGGACCAGGTGCGGGTGCTCCATGCTAGCCATGATCAGAGCCTCCTGAATGACACAGATATACACTCAGGCATGTGGAGGGTAATGATTACAGGTGGCTGTTTTAATCTGTAACAGTATGTCAGCAATGTTTATTTCCAACAGTCGTCGTTTTCAATAAACACATAAAAAATATGCTATTTATTAGAAACATGTCAGATTGTGTGATGGGTATGAGGTAAACTGTGCCAAAACAATTTGGCTGCAGAAAAGACTGAAATGTATTTATTTGTGTTTTTCTTTCTACTGGTAATATTTTTTTAATTTAATAATAACAGAAATGTTTTTTCTTTTAGTTCTCCAAATTGTGAATGGATAAGAAGATGGCACTTTTCACTGCCTGAATTACAAGTTGAGTTTCAAGAAGTATTTTCTTACTGGGAATGCTAATTACATACCTGAGGAGACCACTACATTAAAAAAAAAATGACTAGGATCCTAGCAGCACATCTCTCTCTCTCTCTTCACATTTCTATTCATCTCTTCCTCATAGTTCCTGTCTGTTTTTCTTTGTCTGCAGGGACACATTGAGTGGAGCAGCACATGTGGCATCACCCCACAAGTATAATAAGCTTCCCTTTCACTTTAGCCAAAGAAGAATTTAATGCTAAAAGATGTTTTTGTACAGCCTCACTTTTAAAATAATACACCTGCATTAGGACACAAGCCTGAAAATTGTGTTTTCAGCGCCAATTTTATATTTATTCTGATGTCTTGTTTTTGTCTACAGTGTGACACTCTTTTGAAAATAACCTGGAAACAGCCTTGGCTGTCTGGTGCGAGTGCTGGTTCTGGCAACTCCAGCACTCACAACGCTCACTGAACTGGCACACCTGAGACTCATCTTCACATCAAGTCTCTTCACTCCATGTTCAGTATCCCATGTGATACATGTGTGATGGCCAAATTCTAGCTCTTGCATTTTGGTCTCTAAACAATTTAGTTCTTTTGTAATGCTCCTGTACTTCAGGTCAACTCCTTATTATTACACCAGTTAGGTCTCCAAGCCAACTCATTTCTGAACCTTGTGCCAGCCTCTACTCATGGCCTGCTACAAAGAGTCAGCTACTCTGGACTAATGCAGTAAACTTCAGCTTCATATGTAACAAAGTTTCTGTGTCTGCTTTTAGATGAGTGATTTAAACTAAAACAAATGTTATTGTAGCTTGATGTTGTTCCCTTTCATCTGTCAATATTTGTTGCTGCAGGGATTCCATTAAACAAAGATTTCACTAGTTAAAATCAAATTTGTAAGACCATGAATGCTTTTATGCCAATGTTTTTCTTGGTGGCCTAGAAGCAAAGGCAACACACAGACTTAGGTATCGGCTGTGTTTTGTGATATTTACGTCAACCTTAATGTTAGCTCAGACGAGCCTCTTGAACACACATTTATCATCTCTGACAGTGTCTTGTCTTCCCCCCTTATTTCTTACTTCTTCTTGCTGTGTCACCAAAACTGAGATGAACCACTCTCACAAAGGTAATTTTTAAACTTTCTCTTTCACTTCTATCAGTTTGATAAGAGTTTGAATGTTTCTTTGCCTCATACTCAAAACAACATTTCCTCATAGGTCAGGCTATTCTGTATTCTTTCATGATTGTTTTATGTCTTGTTTGTGCATGTGGAATGTGTCAGAATATTCACTGTGAGAACAGAGAACTAAGATTCTGACACATATGTATGTTTTTTGGAAACTGGTGCACATATCTTCCTGTGTTATCGAGGACTTCAGTTTTGAACTGACCATAACTGATTTCTGTCATCTGCTGAAGTCAAGCTTTAGATGTTCTAAGGGTGTTTTCACACCTGTGCTGCCTAATCAATTTAAATCAAACTCTGGCTCATTTTCCCTGGTGAAGTTCATTTGTGCAATCGCATTTGGTCCGGTTCACAACAGTTGAACTGAGACCCTTTGGAGGCAGTGATCTCAAAATGAACTCCAGAGTGGTGATCAGACCACAATCCAACTTAACTGCCAGATGTATGCTAAAGTTTGATCTGACCATCTTTGGGTAGCTAAGTATGTTTTGCATTCTGTTACCTTTTACCATAAATATTCAGAGGTCACAAAATTTAAACTAATCATCTTATATTACTTCTATTGCTCCTGCCCTACACCGAATGGTTGTAGCTTCGGATGTGATTTCTTTAGGAAGACATTTTGGTTCACTTGGTGTATACTTGGAGTCCAGGCCTCCCTCTCCCCAGGTATCTCCTCCTACTCATCCAGGGGAACACAGAGGCTTCCTAGTCCAGCTGAGGGACATAATCTCTTATAATATCCAACACACTTTCACTCCTCCACTTGGGACAGCAACTAGTCCCTGAACGGAGTGGACACTTTACCCTTTAACGCTGAACACCATTATTGTCATTCCACTCCAGTGGGACTTGGGGACAACCACCTGTTGAAAGCAACAGAACCACATCATCTCCAAAAATTTGAGACGAGATCCTGTGGATCTACTGTACATCCACTATATGTACAGGTACTAAATGGCCAAACACCTAACGTACTCCTGAAACATCTCCTATAGGGAAAAAAAAAAAAAAAATAAGTAATCCGATCCATTAAATATCAAAAAAAGCACCTCACAAAACTTAAGACACGGCGTAACTCGGCTCATAACTGT